TTAACATAAGAAAGGTATTTGTGATCCAATATATTCAAGTACTGATAAAATTATTTATTTCATTATAAGTATTTTTATAAAAAGCTTCAGTTTGATAAAATTATAATTACTAATTATATTTTAAAACCTATCACTTTAACAATCGATAACATTATGGTCCGGGAAAAAATGTGTCGTATATGAGTATATATAATAATGAGTATATACAAAATTATATAAAATTATTTGTAAAATTAAACATATTTTATATACAATCATTTTATATATAATCATATGTAATGTATGTTCTTATATATAACATTTTTCAAAAGTGACAACTAAAATAGGAAGTTGATATAATTGCAACGTATTTAAACATTTATTTTAAGTACATATTGTATAAATATATACAAATATATATGCGCATGTAATACAAAAATTCGTAGACACATATCTAGGACTAATTATACTCTGCATGTAAATATTTTTAATTATACTACTTGTCTATAATATACTAATAATTTATTTGTTATAAAAATGATATTATATAATGAAGTATATAATTATATAATATTGTCATATGTATTACTGTGTAATACAAGTTTTCTTTGGCATTGAATATAATAATTATATACTATTTTATCAACATTTATTATTTTTACGTTATATTATTTTAAGCGCTAATAAAATATTGATTTGTTAAGTTGTTCTTTCGCAGCCATCTTATACTGATATGAAACATTTCATATCAAGAATAAATTTGATTGCAAGTACAAAACTTTATCTCAAATCAATTACATTATTATACAAATTAATTATATTTAAATGTGCGTTATATCATATAATAATTGATACATGCTTTAGAGAATGAATTAAATGTTATTCTTTTGTCGAATACTGTTATTTGAATCACATTCTTGTGAATGTTCGTCTTGAACCACTCATTTCTCCTTTAGATTAGTCTCAGTTCTCCTAATGTAAAGGAGAAATGAGGCTCGTTAATTGTCAACGTCAAGTTCCTACTAGATTGTATACGTCTAAATATAAACGTAATAGACATTTATTAGAAAATCAAAATCCGGCAATGTATTTTTTAGGGATAAATGTTAATTTAAGTGTCGATCTTCTTAATTTCGAGATGTATCCGCATCGTTACTAGATTATCAGTTATCATTACATATAGGATAGCAAGAGTAATATTCATATAATACTACTGGCATTTCTGATGTCTCTCTTATTACGGTTGCAGCTATTTCAAATATAGGTAGTACAGGTTGCGCTGCGTATACGTAGGGAGATGTACAAATGTTTCCACAGAAGAAACAATTACCAATTTTTTTTCTACTTATATATTCATTGAATTGATCATATCGAAAAAATATATGTTTATCTCTGTGAAAATATTAATTTTGTTTATTACAAATTATCAAATAGGAACTTGTGTGTAATATACCCTATTTTTGTTAAAATTACATTATAGTACACAAGTCAAAAAAAGCAACGTACCTGCAATATTGATGCAGAATTTTTGCTGAATACTGAATAAGGCTTGGGAATATTATCTCATTAATCCAAATTGGTGGACTGACTACTAATGGATTCATTGAAATATCTATAGTTTGCAATTGCAACTTAACGATTCCTATTGGCAGATACATTAACATGTTATGTGACAAATCCAAAATACTAAGATTTCGAACCTTTTCAATACCCTGTGGTAAATATCTCAATATGTTGTGACTCATTTTTAATTCTACTAAGGCATTCAAATCCCAAATGTATTCCGATATTTCGAGCAGCTGTAAATTAATGATATTCATGATGACCGTGCTATTAATTGTGAACTATTAATTATTATTTATGACACCGCTTTGATTAGTGATTGTCGTGATATCTTATAATGACTTACCGAATTATTACTTATATCTAGAAAACGTAAAGTTTTCTTAATGCTTGCTTCTTTTAGCCATATCCATCCAGAATATTGACTCAAACAATTATGTGATAAATTAAGCCGTCGAAGATATTGAAAAGCGCCGAATTTTCTAGGTAACACATCAATTTTACTATTTGATATATTCACATCTGTTAAATTTAGCCACCTTGTATTGTTTTTCAAGGTCAGTGGAATGATATTCAACTTTGAAAATAAATTTATTTCATTTGTCAAATCTTCTGAACATTGTTTCTTAATTGGTATATTGTATTGGTATACAAAAATTTTACAGCTTTTTCTCTTACATTTAACCTATATTGAAAATGATTATTGAAATTAGATATTTATAATTGGTAGTTATTATGCTACAAGTTTAAAATAATAATATTTAATATTATATAACTCTAACATATGTAACTTCTCGAGTGAAGTGATTAATCAGGGATAAAAATATTTTTTATTAATACATATTATAACAATTACTCACCATTGTAAAGACGATGTAATCTTATTATATTTATTTATTATTAAGAACCTGATAAATTTTGTAATTCACGTTGCTAATATACAAAATTTGAAGATCTTTATCGTGAAAATATAATTTGTTCCAAGATATCTGCAAAAAGCTATAAAAGTTATTTGATCTGAAATAATTTGATATATGTAAAAGCCGTATGAATTTTCATGATTTAGACTTAATAAACACTTACAAATTATTACCCAATAATTATTACCCAAAAATTATTATCCAATGTATCACACGTTCTATCTGGCAAATAAAATATTTATATTGAGAAAGGTCTGCTGCTCATTGTCTTGTTTTTATCATCCACTTGCTTGTTTTATTGCTGCTTTTGTAGAAAAATTTAGTACTCCATAGACTTGTAATTCTAAATTTATATTGCGGTTTTTTTTTTAACTAATAAATTAATTAAGGTGATGTTCTGACACGAGCCTCGAGATAACTGTCGTATTTGGTTATTATTTATTTTATGTTAGAGTGATACAAATGTGAAACAGTATATTGTAAAGGTCGATTTTAAACTAAAGATTATAACTGAAATTAAAATAATAATAACGCGCTCGTTACATTTATTTTTCAAAAAATTCGGTTTTTTTTAAACTTATTTTTTTTTAATTGTGTTAATTTTCAAAATTTATGTAAATATATATAGTTAATTTATGTTCAAGTAATAAATAGATATTTAAAAGATATAAATTACTTATCAGAGTATTAAATATTAAAATCTAAAAACATATATTATAGAAACTAAAAAAAAAAACAAATTATATTTAATAAAGCTCTCAAAAAATAATAATATTTTAATATTAATAAACGAACAATGAGAGCATTAATACAGCGGAATTAGGAGCGCAATACATATAATATATTCTCAATAATTTTACATTACGTATCTATACAAACTTCTTGAATGTTTC